GTATATGATTTATTGATTGTGTTTTGTAAGATATTTTAACCATTTAGACTGTCTATTAAAACATGCAACATCAACAATGCTAGCTGAAAAATCAAAAGTAAAATTGTTCATATAAAATACAATAATCATATTATTCACTTCGAACAATTCACAGATTTAAGTTTTCATGATGCACTGTTAATTTTCTACTGTTAACACGTACATTATTTAAAACTTAAAACTATTCCACTCCACATAGGCCTAAACCTGTGGACCACCCTGAGCACCTATCAAGAAAAACGCGGTATTCGCGCGATGGTATTAGCATTTTTGCATACACGAAAACACATTGGCCATGTTTTTGGTTTATTTCTTTCACTTACTTCCAGCGTTAGGCCCACTGAATTGTTTAAATGCTTAAATAATTGAAAACATAAATTATGTGGATTAAATTATCATAGAATTTACAATAATTTATTATTATTATTATTATTATTATTATTATTATTAGTATTACGAATCAACAGACGTTTACTATATAATTTTAAAACAAAATTTATGGACCAAAAAGAAGATCGACGTTTCGAGTCCATCATGGACATATTCTCAAGATCAAGTGAACAACACTATACCATTTTCTCTATGAATATACAAAAGCAGACAAACCTAAGAAGGCAAAACAACTATTAAAAATCACAAGATTGACATGGATTAAAAAATCACAAGATTAACACCTACTGTGTTAATTGTTCCTGATACTGATAATCTTAATTAAAATTAATCTGCTAGATAAACAATTTTGCTTTAATAGAATCTGTTTGTTTGTTAAGAAATGGTTTTAAATCTTTAGTCCATAGCATTTCTGTAATGAGGCAGTCAAGTTTTTATTTACATTTAGATAGAACGCTGAAGTGGTTAATTACTTCAGAATCACTAATACCATGTTCGTTCAGGTGTTTACCTATGTTACCCTTACTATGTTCATCAATACGTTGATAGAGGTGTCGGCAAGTGTAGCCGAGATATCTTGATTCACAGAAGCCACATTGGAATTTATATACAACGCATTGTTCAAATAACAATTTTAGGTTTTCTTTCCTTCTTCTTAAGACTTCACCTACTTTCTTACTTGTAAAGACTGGAATAATTTCCTTGTTTAAGTTGTTTATTTACTGAGGAAGACGAAATTTCATCCTTAAAAGGTAGACAATCCTAATTGGCTCCTCATAACTTTTCTGAATATTACTACTAGGTAGAGGCTCATTGTTAGGCATCTGTATCTAATGAAAAATATGAAAAACTAGGGGTTTCAAGCGCTTACTTAATCAATATTAGAGTTTTTATGTAGAAAATAAATATGCCTACAGTAATGTTTTTCTCTCCTACAAAGTGTGGATTTTCTCCCTGACCGGGGGAGCTCTCCCGATTGGCGCCACCACTCGGTGCTGAGATAAATTCTCCCTCACCCACTATACCTTTAAAAAAAGCCGTTCCCTTATATAATGATGGGCTTTTTGATATCATTAGTCCTTCCATCACTCACTAAACTTTTTCACCGCCTAAGGCATCATCATTCTGAGAATGCAGGAAAGTGTATATCCCTGCCAGAACACCCATCTGTTGACACCTCCTTAATTTCCCTCTTGGAAGATTCAGGAGGAAACAAACCAAAGTACCAAGAGTAATATACTGTAAATGAAATTATGGATGAATCCCTTGTATTATCGGGGGACACTTCGGGGTCAAAAGGTTTACTCTTGGGGGGTGCGGTGGCACTAAGCAAATATGCGAAATTGAAAGGCATTTTGGCATTTCAGTCATACAATGAGGACATATTCTTTGATTTCAGTTGATCTATTAATTAAACTAAATTTTACCGTATACAATGCAAATAGGTCTCATACAATACTTTTATGATGGAGTAGGCCGAATAATGTAATTAAAACAATAACAGTTGATTGTTCCAGATTCTATGTGCATAAATACAGATGGGTGAGGGTTATACAGTATAGATTTCAATGGCGGATTCAATGCAAGGCCAGCGGAACATGATTTGTGGTGGGGGGAGGGTGGCGGGGGAAGGCACTGTAAGATGAATGGGAATATGAATTAGGGGCGGATGTGTGTACACATACATAAGCCTAACAAAATTGAGTATAGGCCTACGTATTCTTTTTACATGAATCGATAATTCCCAAAAAGAAATGGGGGTGGGGTTTCCCCCGGGGAAATTTTGAATCTAGATGGCTGGAAACAAGCTTTCCCGACTTCTGAGTTGTCATTTCAATGATTTTTAAATTCTTTAAAATTCAGGTTTTTCCCCCTCTTGAAAACGATTCTATGAATCGATAAACCCCAAAATGAGCTTTCTCGACCTTTAAGTTAATTCTTCAATTAAATTGTTCTCATTCTTATTACAGAGGCCTGTTATGTGTGACGTACTGGCATACATACGTCAAAGGCCTACTTATTCTTTTTTCAATGAATTCTTGATAAACCCCAAAAAGAAAAGGGGGTCGGGGGACTCATCTTCCTCATACTATGCCGTCGATCCTGGCATCTGAATAGTATTAAGAATAGTGTTGCTTTCAAGCATACTTTAGTATTTAGCATAATTTCCCGGCAGTCCTCCTAGCATAATTTAATTCGCATCGCTGGCAAATCGCTGGTACGCTGTCGGTCACATGGTTGCCATTTGGCCTTTTTGACGGCTAGATTCGTCAAATCTGGCCGTATAAAAATTCGCCTGTCCTTAACGTTTGAAAAGTCTCGGCGAAACTATATTTGGCCGAATTTTGTGAACATTTTTTTTTCAATATAGGTCTAATATAACGTAGACTTGTTTTGGATATGTTGTTAATTTTATACGAAAGCTTTGATTCTAATCGTGTACCTTTACTTAATTAAACGTTCGTAGTCGTACTCGCACTAAACAATAAATGTATGTCCCCCCTTTGGCCGAGTTGACGTAAGAGAGTTTATTATTTAAAAGATTGTAGCAGTTACATTTAATAATTAACTTGTTCGGATGAAATTTATTTATTGACGTTTATCCTTGTTTAAAACTTTATGAAGACATAACAGTTTATTGCAAGTTTGTACCACGTGTTTCTTTGTCTATGTTCTAGTCTAGTTTCTATCTCTATTGGTTGAGAATTGAATAAAATAAAATAAATTGTATATGCGCTGTAGTGTTCTTTATGTGAAGTGCCATGTAAATGCTCGTGTGATCATTCGGGTCCAATGACACCTGCAATTTCAAGCAAGTGTTGGTGAGACGTCCTCTAAGTTACTCTGGAGTTAGGTTGTATATGAGAATCATGAAGAAGATAGTCCTGATAGCGACATTGAGTTATTGTTTAAGTATGGCAACAATAACATTCAGAGGCGAATTTAGGAAGTTTTAGATAAAAAGTATTTATTAAAGTTCTCATAAGTTTGTGTTACCTTACTATGTAACTTTCTAATTAAAGAGAGCCACGAATTTGTCATTGAAGATTCGATAACAAACAGGCCCTTAATTATTGCTATAGATGGACTACAATTTACGTTAATTAATACATTTAAATAAAAAATGTAGACCGATCATAATAATGTGACTATAAATAGTCCTACATGCTAGCAACTATAAGACATATAGGCCCATTTAATATTATGATGTAGCTGGGCATTTAATTATGGTGATTAATTAATTATCAAAACAAAAACAGTGAAAGATTAACATTGTTCTGTGTATATCGTTTTAATTTCTTCAATTTCAAACAAATGACAGTTGATTTTCGTGTAATATTTGTATGTTAAGTGAATATTATGTACCAATGTTGCCGAATTCTAATTGGATTAAAATCTGGCCGAATTTTGGCCGATATTGAAAAAACGTTTGGCCGAATTTGGTCGTGAGATGGCGTGTGTTTGGCCATGGTTTGGCCAAGGCGTGAAGCCTCCTGTCGACTATCGCTAGCAACCCTGGGGCGGGGTCACACTGGCCAATAAATAGTGGACCAAAGATCGATATTTGGTGGAACTGCCGTCCCGTTTACACTATTCAGGCTCAGAGGTTAGAATGTTTGGAGGAAGTAGGAGAAGTAATTTTTATGTATAAGGTTATTGTCATGCACCTTGATGTTGTTGATTATAGACAAATATTAGCAACTTTTAAAGTCTGTAATGTTTGGTTTAGCCTAGGCCTATGCTCTAACAGTTCGTCGCGTGCCGAAATTGCGGGGCGTGCGGCGACGGGCGAGACCTTTTCAAAACAAAATACTTGAGCTAGGCTAGGCCTAAGTACTTTAGGTTATGTATTAAACATACTATCCTAGGCTACAGTACCTAGGCCAGATGTTTTACTTCACATCAAATAGGCTAATTATGCCTATTTTTGGCCCTACGCCTTTTCCACGAGTCGGTAGTAAGTGATGACAAACAACCCAAGTCAGTGGTGCGTAACCAACAATAACATAAATAGGATGGTCTAGATTTGAGGCTAAATTCTTGTCCACATGTTATCTAAAAATTCAGAACTCCATAATGGAGGGTCGTATCACATATATTTTTCTGGAAAATGTTCTCAAAAGATTATTCTACACCACTATGATTGAAAAAAAAATTGAAAAATGTTTTTGACCCCATTTTTTTAACAGATGAGTTGGATATTTTGAAAGACAAAATATCAAATAACATTGCTGTGTTGAAAATGAATAGGCCCTAGCTTGCCATGGAAATTTTAACCTAAAAATCATTTTATTCACCAACATGTCTGTGGCATAACTAGCTGGGGAACCAGTCAATTCGAGTAGATGCCACTTCGAGCAGATGCTAGTTCAAGCGGAAAAAAGATTCACTTGCGCGAACAACAGCCTGTGTGAGTTATGTATGAATTACTTTAAAATTTCCTATTTTGAGCTAATAATTTGCATTCGGACGAGGCTCAAGCCTTGCCTGGGAACTGGGGGAAGGGTGGGTGGAGAGACGCACATCCCAAAAATTACTTGTGCCCCCACATTTGCCCCTCCCCAAAAAATCACTTGCAAGTAGTTAAGAATCACCTTATTTTGCGACTTTCACCCCGCAACTACTTCACCTTAGCGCCACCAATGACGACCCCCATTTCAAGACTTGATACGCCACTAGAGCCAGGGGAAAAGATCTGGTGGGTTCTGTGGGAGAAGCCTACTGTAGCTTTATGGATAGAAAAATTTGTATTTAATTGATTTATAAGGTTAACAATTTACAATTAAATATACGGTACCTACGTTCATAAAAATAATGTTTAGTCATTCCTTTCGGAAAAGATCACTTAATCGCTTGTTAGGTCTTCCTCTTTTTCTTTTGTGTCTGTATGGTGTCCATACTGTTAACTTTTTGGCCCACCAGCTGTTATGGTCCATGCGAGCTACATGGCCTGCCCACTCCCACTTTGTTATACAGTTTTTTAGATACATCTTTAATCTTTTTTGCTTTTCTTATAACTTCATTTTTCCACTTATCAAGTCTACTGATACTGATATTTATTTATATATTTATTCTTTATAAAGCCTTCCTTTCCTAATTAACTATAATTAATTATTAATTTAAATATGAAATTATCTGTCAAGAAATATATATTTTTAAGTTTCTTTATTATTATTAAGTGAATTTGTTTATATTATTAAACTCAATTTGTTAAACTCATATATTTTTATTTCTTTATTTTTCATTTATTTATTAAATAATTATATTTTGGACTGCTGTACTGTATTTCGTTTAGTTGTTTAAACATTTCTTCATTTCTTCTTTAGTAATTGTATTTATAGTAATATTTTAAGAACTATTTATTGATTTCTAAGTTTATTTTAGTAATTCATTTTAATGTTTGAAGTAGTTTATTAACTGATTCATCCTTGCATTATAAATCAACAATTGATTAACTCACTTATTTAATTATTTATTCTTTGTCAGTTTACTACAGGTGTCTAAAAATCTATTTTTGCTATATATTTCTTAGGTACCCAACTTCAGCTGAGTATTCAAGTATAGTGGAGCAACTACTTACAAATATCAACAAATATCATCCGATACCTCAAATCAGAAAGGTAGGCCTACAGTTTATTATTACTATATGCATGCATTCTTAACCCATTAGCACCTACAGTATAGTTGTAATGCATTGTAGTCAAGAGAGTTTGCTGTATATGAAAGAAATTAGACTCTACTACAAATAAACTGTAATATTTTTTTTTATTGTTGAAAATGTTCCATTACAAGTTGTTTTTATTTTGATGCATATTAAATAAGCATTCCAGTGACACAAAATATTTTGACCTTTGACTTTGAAATTGTGACCTTTGACCTATCATAGTTAACATTTCATCCAAAATTTGCAATTTTCTCTGAATTTATAATTATATAAATTATTTTGAATTTGCATACTTTTTACTAAATTGTATAATTATTTTAATTTTATTGAGTTACATCAATTCTCTGACCTTTGATTTTAATATATTGACCTTTGACCTATTCAACTTGCCAACACGATCGGCGCCGGGTATAACTAGGCCATAATTTACGATCGGTTTTCTCGGCTTTGTACATATATATGTGTGAAAATTCAACTCCCATTTTCAGCTGTTATTTGTGTTCAATATCTTATAAATAGTACGAAGTCCTCCAGAAAGAAAGTTGACAAATAGGTCTAGCATAGGCCTGGCCCTAGTTCAAAGAGAAGAAACGTCACGAACGAGTGTTGAATGTAATTTTTATCTACGCACAGAAA